TGCTGATCAGAGAATAATATCGAGCCGAACTCGATTCCGAAAAAAAAACGGTTCGATTCGTTCTGTGATGTTCACTATTGCAAAACAATACCTTGTGGAACATATCTCTATATGCAGTGAAAACAGCTTTCGATATAACGTGTGACCTGCAAAGAATTACTCTCGAAATTATTTCTGGTCTAACTAAACAGATTTCATATTATTCTAAAGTAGGGTTCCTCTAGTTTTAATTCTACTGGTTCTATTAGAGCTCAGAAAAGAGCTTCCAGATCATTTTTTTGCCGTTCCCTGTGACCAATATTTTTGGAAGAACAGATTGAAACCATTGAGTACTCTTCTTACTCACACGACTCTTCGAAGAAGAAACTTGTTAGCGTCAATAGAGGTCACTCTATTACCGCTAACTTTCCAGTTGTGTCCTATTGGATTATCCTCCATTTTCTAAATGGTCAGTGTGTGTTTTTCTCTGGACATTCCAGTGATTATCCTTCTTGTTGTTTTTCTCTCTTCAGTTGGTGTTGATTTTCCTCCTCGGTGGTCGCAAGTTGTTTTTCTCTTCCCTTATCTTTTCCCTTCCCATATTGTTCTTCATTATTATATTGTTATTATTATTATATGTTTATGAATATATTCATATTAATAAACCCATATATATATCTCCAACTCATTCATCTTATTATCAACGTAATCAAAGTCAGTATGATTATTTACTTCATTTACGTTAGATCTCTCGTTCCCGTTGCAGACCGGGATTAAATATACTGATCATCTGGCCATAACCGATAGTGTCAGGCTAGAATCACAATTTCCCCCAACGAGAGCCTAACAAAACTCTTTGCAAAAGTCCTCTCAGGTCTAAATCTTAGAAAAAAAATTTCCTTCAAGACAATAATAAAGTTGAAGCCACATTAGTGGAAAATTTGACTTCACTAAATAAACATTTTATGGAACCTATGTGGAAAATTCTTAAAACGTGAATAAAGAAGGTGTCCATTATGGCGAAGAAATTACTTGCTCAACTGATACAGCTTTCCGTGAACTCAAAATGAAAAAGAACAAGAATAAAAGCTTGAAAATAAATCTTATTAGAGTATATTATTACGAATCAAGTATAGTTTTCCAGTTATGCAACTTTGTAGAGAAGTTTATGAACCTTCTTTTGAAAAAATGCAAGCTGGATCATCAACAATTGGAAGAGATATGTAGAAAACTCTTGGAGGGGAATTCTTGTTATGGGTAACCCGTTCGATTCTGCAGATATACTTTCAAGGTTGTTCACCCATGCTTTAGCCCATAAAATATGAGCTAACTTTTGTGCATTAAATTTTGTATCCTTCGTTAAAATATTATTATTTATGACAATATATTATGGAACCTCAAGATATATGATGAGACTGTAATTTTGCCAATGATTGCAATCTTAATGTGACGTATGGAATAACAATAGAATTTTATGAAAAGATATTTTCATAGTATAAAATTCATTAGAAAAAAAATTGCCTTGCTTACTCGAAAATCGTTGTCGTAGTAGCAAGTGGATCAAATGCTTGTTTATCTTGCGATTGAATTCAACACTTTTAACACGAAAACAAACACCTGGCGTAACAAGTTCTTCTTCTTCATTAGTATATTCGGATAATAGACTAAGATCAGCAATAAAAGCTATCAATACTTCCATGATGAATAATGTATTTCCAAATCGTTCTGCTTTTTCACGATTACGACTAGTCGATGTATACGCTTGAAATGATCCATATGCCTCGTCTTTTGCCATTTCTTCATAACTAGCGATCTGTTCCTTAGTCAGTTCGGCTCCTCGGTAAAGTGTCTTTTTGGTTGTCAGTTTTGTATTAAATGGATCATCCCAAAGTAATAAACCAAATGGACCCAATGTCCGAACTTTACTTCGCCATACTTGTTCATGTTCGCTGTCTCCTACTAATCTCATCGCTGCATTCAATGTTTTGTATAGGAAACTTTCCAATGTGTAAAGATATGCACAGCATTTCCATACTTCCTCCATTCCTGCGTTCTTCTTTTCTCTGAGCATTTTAGCCAATTTTTCGGCTTCTCGTTCTTTTCCAATATGTTTTCCTTCTTCAATGATACCACGGGCAGCTTTTTCTATGAGCATTGGGATCATGTTTGGCTTTTTGGAAGGTAAATCATCCGGTTCAAGTTTCAAGTATCTTCTAACTTCAATTACAAATGGAGATACCCAACCATATTGACCACCAAATGAACGTCCTTTACCAACAGGAAGGTCCATAAAACGTGCTTCTCGTAAATGTTTGTCTTCTCTCTTACGCTCTACTCGTTCTATCGGTCTTTGTTTGTACTCGTCGAGGTTCAGTATTTGACGTTTCCTTTTGAAATCAATGTAATAATCATCCAAAAGTGCTCGTGGTTGTTTATCTTGAAATGCTTCTTCGATGATTAAATTTTCCAAATCAGAATAATGACTCCACTCAGCTGGCTCCGATTTTGACCACGGGTTTGGATTTGACTGCCACATCCATTCAATAGTTTTTAAACAATTCGGCGCTGTAGGTGCTGCTTCAGCCATAATTATCAATTACTTTCTTCTATTGTTGATGACCCAAATACGAGAATAAATAATTTTTATATTATCTGAAAGTCTAAAATACAGAATGAGGGTGAAATCAATAAGGAAATAGCAAAAACTTCATTTTTAAAGTCTTATTAAAATATCGAACTTTTGCAAAACTCTTTCAGGTTTATACGAAGTATTTTAAAATAATCAAAAGCGTGTTTTTAAAGATTCCAAAAACAAGAGTCTGAAGTGACTTTAAATGTTTCGATGCCTTAAAATCTGCTGTTTCTAGTTCGGATAAAATATAATTAACTATAAAAATTGAGTAATTTTTATCGAAATCAGCATTAATTTAATTTTGTTTTCAAACTTAGGAGTTTTTCTCAAATAAAATTGTTAATCTTTTTAGATAGAATAACACAAAATTTGTCAATACAACTTAATTTGAATAAATAAAAAGAATGCATAGAGAAGGTTTCGGCCAACCTTTGACGAAAGATTTTCTATTAGGTTCTCTTTTGTTTGGTTGAAATCGTCTTTCATTTTTAATCATATTTCATTCAACGAATAGATCGAAAATTTTCAGACAAAATATTTCAGAAGAACCAAAATTTAACGTTCTTTCAAAAAATAAGTTTCAATATAATATTTTAGATTTTTGTGAACAATCATAATGGTTTTCTTTGAAAGACTTGAAAAAGCATTTTGGTTCACATCGATGATTTCGACCTCGAATTTGTGCTGAAATCGGACGTTTTTAATGATTTTCCAGCAGCGTCTATTCTGCAGGGTCCGTGGAATTTCTCACCGAAACTCTCCAGAAAAAACTAGGAACTTCAACGAATCCCACCGTAAAAACTATGGAAATGGTAGCAAAATCACAGCTAGAGATGTAAGTCGTGCGGCTGAGC